TCCCCCCCCCGGTAGACCCCCTCCCCCCTCAAGGTCCTGCTCCCTCAGGTGTGTCTCACGTAGACCCACCCCCCTTGGTTGAGCCTTTGGAGATCTCTTCTAACTCCTCTGGCCCAGCTGAGGGGGGTGACCCCGCCGCTGACGGCACGGCGGCCACTCGCCGCTCTCCACGCTTGGAGACCCCCCCTCGTTTTCCGACTCGGCCGTCTTTGCCGCCTCCGCAGCCTGCTGCCGTGTACTTTGGAGCTGAGACTGCTGGTGCTGAGCCTGGGGGTGCTCAGACAGAGGGTGATGGTTCTAGGGGTGCTCCGACTGGGGGTGCTGCGACTGGGGGTGCTGGTTCTGGGGGTGCTGCGACTGGGGGTGCTGACTCTGGGGGTGCCGCGAGTCCTAATGGCGGTGGAGCTGTGGGTGACCCTGCTGGAGGTCCTGGAGCTGGACAGCCACCGCATCCTGATCTAATTGAGACGCTCTCGCCGCAGGCGATTCGTGCGTGGATCGTTCGGCGAGGCAGTCCTGGTGGTGGAGGGTACGGTCCTGCTGGTGCTGGAGCTGCTAGTCCTGGAGGTACTATTGGTGCTGGAGGTACTGGAGGTACTGCTGGAGGTGCTGGAGGTGCTGCTGGTGCTGGAGGTACTAGAGGTGCTGCTGGTGCTGGAGGTGCCGGAGCTACTAGTCCTAGAGGTGCTACTGGTGCTGGAGGTGCTGGACCTACTAGTCCTGGAGGTACAGCTGGTGATGGAGGTGCTGTAGGTGCTGCTGGTGCTGGAAGCGCTGGAGCTGGAGGTACTGGAGGTGCTGGAGCTGCCGGAGCTGGTGGTGTTGTTAGTGCTGGAGGCGCTGGGGGTACTGGAGCTGCTGGCACTGGAGGTGCTGGTGCTACTGGTGCTGGAGCTGCGGGAGCTGCTGGTCCTGGAGGTGCTCGTACTAGAGTTATTGGAGCTGCCGGAGCTGGTGGTGCTGTTGGTGCTGGAGGTGCTAGGGGTACTGGAGCTGCTGGCACTGGAGGTGCTGGTGCTACTGGTGCTAGAGCTGCGGGAGCTGCTGGTCCTGGAGGTGCTCGTACTAGAGGTGCTGGAGCTGTCGGAGCAGGTGGTGCTGCTGGTGCTGGAGGTTCTGGAGGTGCTACTGGAGCTGCTGGTAATAGAGGTGCTGGAGGTACTACTGGTGCTGGAGGCGCTGGAGCTGGAGGTACTGGAGGTGCTAGAGCTGCTGGTCCTGGAGGTTTTCGTACTAGAGGTGCTGGAGCTGCCGGAGCAGGTGGTGCTGCTGGTGCTGGAGGTGCTGGAGGTGCTACTGGAGCTGCTGGCACTGGAGGTGCTGGAGGTACTGCTGGTGCTAGAGGTGCTGGCGCTGCCGGAGCTCGTGGTGCTGCTGGTGCTGGAGGTGCTACTGGAGCTGCTGGTGCTGGAGGTGTTGGTGCTGCTGGTGCTGGAGGAGCTGGAGCTGCTGGTACTGCCCCGCGCAGACTGTTTTTCTACCCGCAGCCGCAGACATCCCTGCGGACGCCTGACTCAGTCCTTCGCCAGGTTCTTAGTCTCCCGTCTTCCACTGGCCTCACTCCACCTCTCCTGTGTCTACCGACAGACTAGTCTCTGCCACAGCTTCTACCTGGCTCCCCCCTGCCTGCTCCTGCTCCTCACACTAAGGTGATTGAGTCCCTGACTGAGCGTCGTGAGCCTTAGACTCGTGCTTCCACACCTGTTCGTGCTCGTCGTGTCGCCCGTCGTTGTCCTCCTTCTGTCCCAGGCACTCACGGTATGACACTTCGTCCTTCCTGTGTTCCACAACGTGTTGTCTTGCCTGAGCCTCCCCCGTCCTCTCTTCCACACGTTCCTGACCCTGAGTCCGACCTTGCTCGCGCTGCCAGTCCTACTGTCACTCGTCTCCTTGCTACTGTCGTCACTGACCCTGACTTTGAGTCTACTGCTGCGTTTGCCCTAGTCACTGAGCTAGTCGACTTTGCAGCTAGGAGTCGTCTCGACTATGTCGCGAGTCTTGTTACTGAGTCTGAGTCTGTCTGTCCTCCGTCCGTCGGGGGTGAGCTTGCCCTTAGCAATGACTTCCTTGAGGACAGACAGTTTGAGCTTGAGTGTCTTTCGGTCGCTTTACCTCGTTTCGCATCCATGCTGCTTTGCCCTGAGGGAGACCCAGATGCACTTGACATCCCTACCCCGCGCTCTTACGCTGAGGCGATCACGGGTGAGTACTCCTCTCAGTGGTAATCAGCCATGGACGCAGAGATGGCTTCCTGGAAGTCCACAGGCACCTACATCGACGAGGTTCATCCTCCTGGGGCAAACATAGTCGATGGCATGCGGATTTTCATAGTGAAGCGGCCGCCGGGTTCTCCGCCTGCCTTCAAGGCGCGTTACATTGCTCGAGGCTTCAGTCAGCGACAGGGGGTCGACTACTTCCATACCTTCTCCCCCACCCCGACGATGACTACTCTTTGGGTGCTGCTGCACGTTGCAGCACAGCATGACTACGAGCTACACTCCCTCGACTTCTCCACAGCTTTCTTGCAGGGCAGCCTTCACGAGGAGATCTGGCTACGCCGCCCACCTGGATTCACTGGGTCGTTTCCTACGGGTACCCAGTGGAGCCTCCGGCAGCCAGTCTACGGTCTCCGCCAGGCGCCCCGAGAGTGGCACGACACACTGAGGACTACACTTGCGGCTCTTGGGTTTTCTCCTTCCTCTACTGACCCGTCGCTGTTTCTATGCACCGACACTACCCTGCCGCCGTTCTACGTTCTCGTGTACGTCGACGACTTGGTTTTTGCTACTGCTGACACTGAGACGCTGGCCCTAGTGAAGGCGGAGCTGCAGGAGAGACACACCTGCACTGAGCTGGGTGATCTGCGTAGCTATCTTGGCTTACATATCACCCGGGACAGAGCACGGCGCACCATCACCCTGACTCAGTCACACATGGTGCACCAGGTCCTTCAGCGCTTCGGCTTCCAGTTCTCCTCATCACAGCCCACTCCTCTGTCTACCGGCCACTCGCTCTCAGCTCCATCTTCTGACGAGTCCGTAGAGCCGAGTGGTCCGTATCCAGAGCTTGTGGGTTGCCTCATGTACCTGATGACGTGCACACGGCCTGACCTCGCGTACCCTCTCAGCCTCCTGGCTTGCTACGTGGCTCCTGGTAGACACCGAAAGGTGCACTGGGATGCTGTGAAGAGGGTACTGTGTTACTTGTGCAGTACATCGGGCATGGGGCTTGTGCTTGGAGGACGGGGTTCAGTGGTACTCACAGGACACTCCGACGCTTCTTGGGCCGACGACCAAGCGACTCAGCGTTCGTCACAGGGTTACACCTTCAGTCTTGGCTCTGGTTCTGTCTCGTGGAGGTCCACTCGTTCTTCTTCTGTGCTTAGTTCCAGCTGTGAGGCCGAGATCTACGCTGGGGCCATGGCTGCACAGGAGCTACGCTGGCTGACCTACCTGCTGACCAACTTGGGGGAGCGGCCTCGTTCTCCTCCAGTTCTGTACGTCGACAACAAGGCAATGCTTGCCTTGTGTCACGAGCAGAGACTGGAGCACAGAACGAAGCACATTGCTCTTCGCTACTTCCTTGCGCGTGAGCTGCAGCAGCATCGTCAGCTCCGCCTTTCCTACGTGGCCTCGCGGGCCAACACTGTTGATGTGTTCACCAAGGCCCTTGGGTCTGGTGATCATCAGCGTTTCTGCACTGCTCTTAGGCTTGTGCCCACTCTGCCTCACCTATTGGTTGGTTGACTTGCTCTTGTTGTACACTGATATACATCTCTATACCTGTTTGTTTACCCTTGCTAGGTTGTGATAAGTGTACTGCCTTACTATTATAACTCTTCATGTGAACTGGCCTTGTGGCCGCTTGGTTTTGCTCAGATTGTGTGGTGTCCTTGAGATCCACCCTGAGCTTTGCTTTGCTTTGTTCTCTTGCTCGACTGATCTTGTGACCGTTCGTTGTGTTTGCTATCCCCCACTTTGCCTATGGGGGTGTGTCAAATTACATTTGTATGTGTAGGCTGTAGTGGGGTAGCCTCTACTGAGTACAACACTTTAGGTCAAACTTAGTACTTGTATTCTTGCTTGCTAGTCAATCATTCCTGCAGAGTTGATTCTGACAAACACCATTGTTGCTGAAGTTACCCAAAACCAAGCTATGGTGGTGCACTGGCCCCACACACAAACAAACTATTATATTGTAGTAGCCCCTTAGGAGAGGCAAAAGATCCCGCCGACCGGATTCGAAACAGTCACCTAAGGATTGCTCGACTACAGTCCTCCGCTCTACCAACTGAGCTATAGCAGGATGCGATATATATCGCTATTAATATTAAACCTGTAAATATTTTAGCCATGTATGCACATAGGAACCCTGCCGATAAAACCAAGTGTTTCAACACGATTTTTTACCACTAAAGATTAATTGTTTAACTTGATCTGGTTCGAAGTTTTGGCTGCGCTGCCCCTCGCATGACATACAACTTCCTCCCCCCCCGCCTACTGCTCCTGCTCTACCATTGCTGGGCCCAGCCTCCATGCCGCCTCTGAAGCTGCGTCTAGGGGGAAGTTCTCGCGGTGCAGCCACCTGTCAGAAAAAAGTCTTCCATTGAAAGCAACTTCTTATAGAAAAGCCCTGCTGCTGACAGGAACGAGCCTGCTAACTTGATCTTGGGCGCAGCTTCGGCTGTGCTGGTCCTCGCATCACACAAGACTTCCTCCCGCCTGCTGCTCCTGCTCCACCAAAGCGGGACCCAACCGCCATGCCGCCTCCGAAGCTGCATCTAGAGGAATCTTCTCGCGGTACAGCCACCGGCCCGAGTCTGGGTCGCCGCCTCTGAAGCCCTGCTGCTGACTGGAACAAGCCTCCCTAACTTGACCTGAGCCTCAGTTTCGGCTGTGCTGCCCCTAGCATGACATATGACTTCCTCCCTCCCGCCTGCTGCTCCTGCTCTACCAGAGTGGAACCCAGCCGCCACGCTGCCTCTGAAACAAGCCTGCTAACTAGCTTGATCTGGGCCGTAGCTTCGGCTGTGCTGCACCTCGCATGACATACGACTTCCTCCCACCCGCCTGCTGCTCCTGCTCTACCAGGGCTGGACCCAGCCTCCACGCTGCCTCTGAAGCTGTGTCTAGAGGAATCTTTTCGCGGTACAGCCACCGGCCTGTGTCTGGGTCCCGCACGAAGCGGGACTTCTCGACGAGGATCTGATTGTCGGTGGTGGAGCCGTGCTTGTAGGCGTAGACTGCTCGGAAGGAGACAAATGATTCCTGTAAGAGGGGGGAAGGGAGGGATGGAAAACCAGAGTGGGGATTTTCTCGCGGTACAGCCACCAGCCTGAGTCTCGGTCCCGCACGAAGCGGGACTTCTCGACGAGGATTTGATTGTCGGTGGTGGTGCCGTGCTTGTAGGCGTAGACTGCTCGGAAGGAGACGAATGCCTCCTGTGGAAAAAAGGAGAAGAAAACAGGGGAGCGGGGTAGAGGGGAAGAGGGATAACGGAAGGGGGGGAAGAAACAGGGAGATGAGTGAAGGGAGAGAAGGGGAATTCAGAGCGTTCGGGGGGATTTTCTCATGGTACAGCCATCGGCCTGAGTCTGGGTCGCACACAAAGGGGGATTTCTCGACTAGGATCTGGTTGTTGGTGGTGGTGCCGTGCTTGTAGGCGTAGACTGCTCGGAAAGAAGAGCTAGGCTGCGTGCACACTCTGTTATAGCAATTGCTGTGCCACACCCACACCTCCTACATGCACACCCCCTACATGCACACCTCCTACACTCACATCATCATTCTCCCCCGCCTCAGTGGATAGGATCTCGAGGCGTTTGAACACCAGCCGCTTGCACGTCTCCTCGCAATCAGCAGTCAGCTTCTTGTGCCCCTCTGCTCCCCCGGGTGCCATGTTGGGGTTGTCTTCATGTGTTGTGCACACGAGGCGTGCCTCTGTTAGTCACATCCCCACAAACGCACCAGTATAATCGCACTGCTACTACAACCACACTGCTACACTCACATCATCATTCTCGCCTTCCTCTGTCGAAAGGATCTCAAGGCGTTTGAACACCAGCCGCTTGCACGTCTCATCGCCATCAGCAGTGAGCTTCTTGTGCCCCTCCGCTCCCCCGGGTGGGCTGTTTGAGCCAACTCAATCTCAAACACCAGCCGCTCGCACATCCCCTTCTACGCTATGGCACGGACCATGCTACAACCACACCAATACAATCGCATGTCTAGAATCACACAGTTACACCACTCACATCATCATTCTCGCCCGCCTCAGTGGAAAGGATCTCGAGGCGTTTGAACACCAGCCGCTTGCACGTCTCCTCGCAGTCAGCAGTGAGCTTCTTGCGCCCCTCTGCTCCCCCGGGTGCCATGTTGGGGTTTTCTTCATGTGTTGTGCGCACGATGTAGGGAATCACACCCTTGGCAAAGGCTGAGTAGCGTGCCTCTGGAAGCAAGGAAAAAAGGAGGGTTCAGAGAGGAGGGGAGCAAGAGAAGAGCAGGAAGGGGCTGAAGAGTGGTGTGTTGAGCCCCACTGCTCCCCGCGGAGCCATGTTGGGGTTGTCCCCGTGTGTTGTGCACATGATGTAGGGAATCACACCCCTGGCAAAGGCTGAATGGCGTGGCTCTGAAAACAAGGACACAAGGAGGGTTCAGAGAGGAAGGGAGAGATGCGGAGTGGTGAGAGGGTTGAGGAGTGGTGTGTTGCGCCCCTCCGCTCCCCCGGCGGGTGCCATGTTGGGGTTGTCCCCGTGTGTTGTGCGCACGATGTAGGGAATCACACCCTTCGCAAAGGCTGAATAACGCGCCTCTGATAAGGCAGAGAAGGGGGTCAGAAGAGGGTCACACGCATCCAAGAGGTTCAGGGTTTATGGCTAGCCCCTTTCACGTTTCGACTCCCTATGTTGAATGCGAGAAATTATCCACTCATGAGGGAAAAGAATAATGCCTGGTTAACACACCCCCCCATGGTATTGTAATGGTTACCATGTTACATGCTTGTTACCACGTATGGTCGTCTTGTAACGTACCAGTTACCACTTTTAATTACCATGTTATGTACTGTTTACGGAGGGTCTGCTGACCACCATTTGATTGAGATGATTCAGGAAGGAAACAGCATGTGGTTCTTTCATCCCCCCATGATACTACAATGGTTACCATGTTACACAAAGTTTCTGGTAACCATCACTTCAGTGAACTCACTCATGAGGGAAACAGCGTCTGGCTCCTTCACCCCCCCCCCCCCCCCCCCCCCGTGGTACCGCACGCAGCCTTTTCGTATGCGCGCTTCTCCCCCCTCACCCCATGGTACCACAATGATTACCATGTTACACACAAGAGTTACAACTCACTCATAAGGGAAACAGCGTCTGGTTCCTTCACCCCGCCATGGTACCGCGCGCAGCACTCCTTGTATGCGCGCTTCTCCCCCTCCCCGCCCCCCCCGCACGGACATACAGCCGCTTCAGCCGTCTCCGCCCCCCCCACCGCCCCCGCCGCTTTTCCCGCCGGCGCAGATCCTGACGCTCCGGCGGCGCCAAGCTCCTCCAGCAGTTTGCTGCTGCCGGCTGCGCTGCCGGCCGGCTTGGCCTTGCTGCCGGCCGCCGGCTTCTTTCCGAAGCCTTTCCCCGCTTGCGCGGTGACGAGCGCGGGGGAAGGGGACCGGAGACGGAGGCGGAGGGATGCTTTTTGCGAAATGTTTGCGAAGAGGGTTCGAGTTTGAAGGGACCAAAGGTCGGACGCGTTGAGGGTGTCGTGTGGTTCGTATCGGGGATAGAGTGTATGCGCGGACAGAGAACTATGCATACTCACGCTTGCACTCATTGTCGCAATGTGGGAGTTCTCGACAAAATTTGCCTCGAAATCACGACAAGCTTATGATCGTAATTTATTATCCTCAGGAACTCCAGCACCCGTAGCCCGTACACGAAATGTGTGAGAGAATTGCTCCAGTGCCTTGTTTGGTGATTCGCTCTTGCCCACGTGTCCCCGAATTGCTCGAGTGGCCATCCAATTCAGTGATAATTGCTCGAGTGGCCATGCCAGGGCATTTTCGAGGTGTTTTTTTTCCCTGGCACATAACCCTACAAGGGTTCGTACCCCCGAAATTCCTCGTTCGCACAATAGTAGATGCGCGGTCATTTTTGGCCCAATGCGCGACCAATGAGCGCGTGGGCAATTACATCAGCGATCATAAACTGCAACGCCAGAGCATAAATGCACGAACATATTATTGACCGCGCACGATTGGTCGATAATATGCTTCTTGCCCTTTTTGGCAATGCGCGTCCAATCACGCACGGTCATATAATTCACGACCATATATTTAGGCGATAAAGGGTCGCCCAAAAACCAATATGAGCGCGCATATATTACCATTACTTCTATCATATGTCCGGTCCATATAAAACCATATATATCAAATGCCATAAATATATTATCTGCTATTAATTTAAGCCCATCATAATAGACATAATATTTTATCGTGGCCTACCATAATATTAATTTAAGCCCATGACACCGTGGTCCATAATATTGTATTGCCGGTAATATGGTTGCAGAAATAATATGTTCGGCAGCATAATATTAATTTAATCCTAGCATAATATGCTGCCACCAAGGTTATGAAGGGTTTAAATTAATAGCAGAGAATATATTTATGGCATTTGATATACATAGTTTTATATGGACTGGAAATATGATAGAACTCATGGTAGTATATGCGCGCTCATATTGGCTCTTGAGCGACCCTTTATCGCCTAAATATATGGTCGTGAATTATATGACCGTGTGTGATTGGACGCGCATTGCCAAAAAAGGCAAGAAGCATATTATCGACCAATCGTGCGCGGTCAATAATATGTTCGTGCATTTATGCTCTGGATTTGCAGTTTATGAACGCTGATGTATTTGCCCGCGCGCTCATTGGTTACGAGCAATTTATATGCTCGAGCGCTTATTGGTTACGAATTTGTTTGCCCGCACGCTCATTGGTCGCGCATTGGGGCAAAAATGGCCGCGCATATACTGTTGGTCGGGCCACGTTCGCGCCCGCCAACCACCCGAAATTTTTGGGTGGGGAATAGTACGAAACTCTACCGCTTGATGAAACTCGTGCGAACGAGGAATTTCGGGAATACAAACCCTGGTAGGGTAATGTGACGGAGAAAAAAAACACCTCGAAAATGCCCTGGCGTGGCCACTCGAGCAATTATCACTGAATTGGATGGCCACTCGAGCAATTTGGGGACACGTGGGCAAGAGCGAATCACCAAACAAGGCACTGGAGCAATTCTCTCCGAAATGTGTTGTATGTATAAATCCGTAGTTTGTATGGAAGTCAAAAACTCCCAGGCCCATGTGCCCTGAGGTTTCAAATCCGCCCTCGAGATCATCACTGGAAGAAAAGAGGTCGTTGAGGGCGTGTGCAGTGTGCCCGAGTGTTTTGTGGAGTTGAAATTTTGATCCACTTGTGGGCTGAGAGCCGAATCGTTATGGGAATTTTGGTACTCTTTGCGAAAGATAAGTGTCAGTATTTGTGACGAGAATTCGCTTGCGATCGGTTTGAAAGGTCGCTCCAAATTTGTGAGGCTGGAGACAGCGAAATGTATTATGCGTAAATTATTGTGGATCTTACTGTACCGGTGTGCAAGCAACGCAAAGGACCTCTTGTTATCGAGTTTTTCCCCCTTGGAACTTCACAAGCCTTGGGAGTTCGGTGACCAAACCAATGATCTCCTCTCACTGGATTGGTCGACTGACGAAGTCGGCTTGTATCGCGTACGCGCCCGCATTTCCCGCTCATAGTTTCAGGCTCCTCTACAGTTTCCGATTCCTGACACAGCCTCACAACATCGTGTTTCCTATTGTTATGCGAACCATCCAGGTCATTTCACCAGGTCAATAGGATCACTAGGACAATCGTCAACCTGGTCTTTTTCCAAATTGTGATGTCCACCAGACGACTGCTACGTTCCGCGAAACTTGCGAAGTTCGCGAAGCTCGGAGAATCCCAGCAGCAGTAGCCTGCCTAGAATCGTGACGCCGTTGTCGTTGCCGACACGTGTCTCAGGCGCGACCTTCTACCGTTGTCGTTAGAAACTGTACACGCGACCTTCCCGTGGCACATTCTGAGACTCCCAAGGAAGAAGTGAACAAAACCGTCCCTTTCGCCGGACACACTATATCGCGGATGGGTTGCTGCAGATGGGTCGTCCCGCTCTTGGCACTCGCCGTGCTTGGCGCCGTGATCCCCGCGGGACAAGGCATGCCGCAGATCAGCCCGGAATTAGCGGAAACCGCGAAGCGCCTTCACGAGGTAGGGCCCTACGCTGGGGGATGGGGGGGCGACGGGCTGGGGGATGAGGGGACGATGGTCTGGGGGGGATAGGGGGACGATATTGCCTCACTTAAATGATTGCACCAGTAAAACATCTTTTCCACTCATCCGCCTTCTCCCTTCCCCCTTCCACCCCCACTTCCCCGTTTCCCCCTCCCCCACCCCTCCCTCTTCACCCTCCTTCCCCTTCTCCACCACAGGCGCGGACTAAGGTCTATAACCTGGCTGTCAGACACCACTCGCTCCCCCTCCCCGCTCTCCTCCCCGCTCCCCTTCCCCATTTCCACAACTCGCCTGCCCCCATCCCCATCCCACCCCACCCCTCTCCCCTTCCCTTCCCAGGCGTGGACTAAAGTCTATAATCTAGCAGACGACACCACTCGCTCGCCTTCGCCACTCTCCTTCCCCCCAGACGTCCCTCCGGCGCCCCATCTAGAGGACTGCACGGCCAAGACTGCTCTGAGGGTGAAGGGAGAGGCGAGGGGGCCGCATGGGGAGGACCCTGAGTGGGTGCGACCGGGCAAGTGCTGCAACTGCACGCCCCAGCCGCCTTGGGTGAGTGTGTTTGTGCCTTATAAATGATTCACAACGTGCCCGCCCTAGAAGGGACTGCACCGCCAAGACTGCTCTGAGGGTGAAGACAGAGGCGAGAGGGCCGAATGGGGAGGACCCTGAGTGGGTGCGACCAGGCAGGTGCTGCAACTGCACGCCCCAGCCTCCCTGGGTGAGTTGTATCTATTGAGATGGTATTGTTAGAATCGAGCGCATTGCACAGTGCTCACCCCCTCTTCCCCTCCTCACCCCTCCCTCTCTTCCCTTCCCCACTCCCCTTTCTCCTCTTCACCCAATCCCCTCCCGGGAAACCCCAGATCCGTGGTTCTGACGCGGCCAATCTCGCGCTGACACGTGTCTTCCAGCGGGACCTGTGGGAGCGGCAGTTCCCCTCCAGCTGTGCCGAGCGGCGGCTGATGATTACCGACTGGCCCCCCAAGCACCACGGGACAGGCAACATGGTGCATGTGATGGGGTCGTTTCTGAACGCCGCTGTCCGGCACAATCGAACTCTTGTGATCCGCCCTCGCACCTTCCACCGCGCCAGCGGGCAGGAGTGCTCAGGTGGGAAGGGGGGGGGAGGTGTGGGTGGGTACAGGACAGGTGGGGAGTGTAAGGAAGGGAATGGCTGTGCGGCACAACAAGACGCTCGTTGTCCGCCCTCGCTCCTTCCACCGCGCCAGTGCGCAAGAGTGCTAAGTTGGGAAGGGGGGGTTTGTTTGGATACAGATGGGGTATGTTGTACGAAGGGAATCAGCACACCAAGCACCCCGACAAAACACTCCCCACAGCGCCCTTCAAGCAGCACCCATCGCCTTGTTCAACGACACATCAAACCCTCCTCAACGACACATCAAACCCTCCTCAACGACACATCAAACCCTCCTCAACGAAGCGTTTGAGTAGACTAAAGAAGCACTCCCCTGCTACTTCTTCTAGTTACCCATGCTTTTCCCCTTGCCCCCTTTCCCCATGCGTACCCCAGACATAGGACAGGAGGGCGAGTGGGAGTGCTACTTCTTCCCCGTCGCCTCCCCAGACTGCCTCAAAGTCGCCCTGGCAGCTGAAGCAGCAGCACCTATTGCTCTGTTCAATGACACCAACCCTCCGTCCTCTGTCTTCCCCCCTTCCTCGGTGTCCCCCTCTTGCCCGCCCTATCCTATCCAGAAATTGGTCAGGAGTGCGAGTGGGAGTGCTATTTCTTCCCGGTCGCCTTCCCAGACTGCCTCAAGGTCGCCATGGCAGCGGGAGCAGCAGCACCCATGGCGCTGTTCAACGACACCAGCCCTCCGTGCTCTGTCTCCCCCTTACTCTCCCTATTTCCACATGACAGACATAGGGCAGGAGGGCGAGTGGGAGTGTTACTTCTTCCCCGTCGCCTCCCCAGACTGCCTCAAGGTCGCCCTGGCAGCACAAGCAGCAGCGCCAATCGCTCTCTTCAACGACACCAAAGAGACAGTGCTGGCATCGGCGACTCAAGTGGTCATTTGTAATGATACCCACTACCACCACGACGCCGCCAGAGCTGCCAGGTGTGTGCTGTGCTCCTATCGCTCTCCATCTCTGAATCCTGCTCCTCTCCTCATGTGGTGGTACACCAAGAAGCAGCACAAGCAGCACAAGCAGCAGAAGCAGCAGCGCCCATCGCTTTGTTCAACGATACCAAGGAGACGGTGCTGGCATCGGCTACTCAAGTGGTCATTTGCAACGACACGCACTACGATGAGTCGACTCAAAAATCGCCTCATCACTGTGCTGGCACGTGTAGCGAGGTTGTTTTTGAGACGTCTAAAAAAAAAATCGCCTCATCACTGTGCTGGCATCGGCTACTCAAGTGGTCATTTGCAACGACACGCACTACCACCACGACGCCGCCAGAGCTGCCAGGTTTGTGGGAGCGAATGAGTGAGCGAGCGAGCGAGTGAGTGAGTGA